CCCAAATATTGCGTGCCAGCTCTTCCCACTCAGCCACTTCCATCTCGTTGAGGCTCGTCCAAAACTGCGCGACAGCTCTTGAGGTGTCAATGGCGAATTGGGAAAAAGGGGGAAACCTGAATAGATTCAGACTGGTAGGTTCAAGAGCGATGACACCGGCATTAGTAGTCACTCTCAGTTGTTGTTCCTGGATGAACTTGAAGAGGATCCAGCCGTGAGAAGATAATGGAGTAGTAACAAGCGCATAAATCAGGGGAGAGAGTGTATCGTCGTTGGAAAGGGTGTTTGACCCGGTCAAGTCAGCCTCTGGAATATGGTTCAATAGGAATTGGTGTACAAGATGAGGGTTGTTCTGTGGCTAACAAAGTGATACGGCAGCAATGTCAGCATCTATTAAGGATTTCATGTGAAAAAGTGGCAGTATACGTGGATAGCATACCGTAAGGACTGGAATTCTTGCCCTGAGGGCGAGTCGAGCGTCAGCCATGCGCAGTATAAGTTGGACCACGGGCAGTAGTTGGGAATGGTGGGCTTATAATGGCTCTGATTGCGTTATGTTTCTTAATGTGTAGAACAGACCACCCGGTTATACCAATTCATTCGATGAACCCGATTCGCATCGAATATGGCAGTCAGGTTATGAAGAGTAGGTAACCTTCCAACATCCCGTCCCTTGTCTGTGAGACCTTGCTGTCAATCTTCCAAGAATGGATTGAACTATGGTGCACGGGTACATGAGTCGGCGGCTAGACGGACGGTCTTCAACGGGATAGAGAACGCCACCAAACCATGGCAATCACCGGAAAATAGAGTTTCGAAACACATTTGTATTGAGTTTGTAGCAGCCGCAATACACTTTTTTTTTTTATCTTTTGGTCCGAGTGGCGGATGCGCACTAGTGCTCAAAAGCGGGGAAATGGCTCACGGAAAGGTCAACCAATGCCGTCGTACTCGGCTGGACATTGAAAACCCTCAAATCTCTTATTAGCAATCGATCTCTCCACTCTCTAGAGACGATATTTGATAATTGAGCTTGTGGTTGTCTTACGTAACCATTTATGTAGCTATTAATTACTTTCCCCTAAGCTTCTTTGAAGCCCTTTGATAGAGCAGAGAGCGATGTAGATAATAAGTATGTCGGTCATGTTGGTCATGTTTCGTATCTTGTATATTCAAGCGGACAGAATTTGAGGGTCTGACTTGGAAACGGGACGTCCTCTACATGATCGACAGACCGTGCCCTTTCCAGGCCGTCGACCGCCGGCGACACCTCGTCGTGTTAAAAGAACGTGCTACTTTGAACTTCAACACAAACGGCACAAACGGGCGAGCGTCAACAAATAAGTGGTTGTATCCCATCATAATACACCCGAATCCAATGTATAAGGACTCCGAGCGATGATACATGATGAATTGTAACCATTGTTGATTTCAGATCAGGATTACTGTAGGTGTTCAAATATGGGCGGATGCTCAAGCGGTTGACGCTTTCTCACAGCTTGTGGCATTATTTTTCTGATTAGAAAGCGCTGAGTTCAGGCTCAACTTGCCAAGTCTCTCTCCCCTGCGACTCGGATATGCCCTAGGCAAAATCGAGCGTGGCGGACGAAACTACTAGCCCACACTCATTCCTTCAACAATAAATGATATTCATCCTGTGAAACCCCATTGACACGAAAGAAGACACGTCTAGGAGACAAAGAAGGAGACAAGAGAAGTATAGCAGAAAAGAGGAAGGGTAAGGTACAAGCGATTGAAGGTTTCCTCGAGCTTGAGGCGAAGAAAAACACGTCACTGAGCGAGTATTTCTCAAGGCCATCATGGATAAAATGCTGCTGTCATCAGGTTAGTCGTGTTTGCTCTGGCTTGAGCAGTTTGACAGCCCAACCACTTGAGATAGATGGTTCGCACATGATAGAGTCTTTCCTCTTCCCAAAGGAATCCTTCGAATACAATTCTGTTCCCGAACGTAGCGATTAGTTGTGCATACGCGATACGGATATCATGAGCGAGCTCCTCCCACTCGGCGATTTCTGCCGGACCCAAGGCTGTCCAGGAATCGGCAATGGTTCTTGCGGTATCAACATCCGTATAAGTAGATGATAGGGCAGAATAATTAGTAACAGCAAACTCGGGCTGGTTGTTGGGCCTCTTCAACGTGTGCTCTTGGAAGATTTTGAAGGTGGCCCAGCCGTGCATGGAACGAGGAGTGGTATCAAGAGTGTATAATAGTATGGAAAGAATGTTATTATTGGACATGATATTGGGTCTGGTTAGGTCGGCACATGGGATTTGATCCAGAAGAAAATCGTGGAGGAGATGAGGGCCATCACTTGGCTGTTACAAATAAAAGACTCAGCATTGAGCACGCTAGCCATATTCCTCCTTACTCACCTTTTTTTGTTGCAATGATGGTGTATAATGGCGCGCTATAGCCTATATGATCTGCAATGTTCAGTCTAATGTTTTTCATGCTGTAATTGGAAAACCCTGACCTGTCATGGTTGAGTGATTTCGTACCGAAACGTATGTCTTGCGGATTTGAATCACTACCAAGCGTGTGATACGATGCAATCACCTTGGGTAAATGGAGAATCGTCTCCCACAAGCCAAATGGCAGAGGA